TAGCCACAGCAATCAGACAACAAAAAGAAATTGAAGGCATCCAAATCATCAAAGAAGAAGTCAAACTCTCACTCAGTGCAGATGATATGATACTTTATGTGGAAAACCCCAAAGACTCCACCCCAAAACTGCTAGAACTCATACAGGAATTCAGTCAAGTGGCAGGATATAAAATTAATGCACAGAAATCAGTGGCATTCCTATACAGCAACAACAAGACAGAAGAAAGAGAAATGAAGGAGTCAATCCCATTTACAATAGCATCCAAAACCATAAGATACCTAGGAAGAAATCTAACCAAAGAGGCAAAGGATCTGTACTCAGAAAACTATAAAATACTCATGAAAGAAATTGAGGAAGACACAAAGAAATGGAAAAACGTTCCATGCTCATGGATTAGAAGAACAAATATTGTGAAGATGTCAATGCTACCTAGAGCAATCTACACATTCAATGTAATCCCCATCAAAGTACCATCTACTTTTTTCAAAGAAATGGAACAAATAATCCTGAAATTTGTATGGAACCAGAAAAGACCCCTCATAGCCAGAGGAATGTTGAAAAAGAAAAGCAAAGCTGGTGGCATCACAATTCCGGACTTTCAGCTCTATTACAAAGCTGTCATCATCAAGACAGTATGGTACTGGCACAAAAACAGACACATAGATCAATGGAACAGAATAGAGAGACCAGAAATGGACCCTCAACTCTATGGTCAACTCATCTTCGACAAAGCAGGAAAGAATGTCCAATGGAAAAAAGACAGTCTCTTCAACAAATGGTGTTGGAAAAATTGGACAGCCACATGTAGAAGAATGAAACTGGACCATTTCCTTACACTGCACACAAAAATAGACTCCAGATTGTTGAAAGACCTCAATGTGAGACAGGAGTCCATCAAAATCCTAAAGGAGAACACAGGTAGCAGCCTCTTGGACCTTTGCCACAGCAACTTCTTCCTAGAAACATCACCAAAGGCAAGGGAAGCAAGGGCAAAAATGAACTATTGGAACTTCATCAAGATAAAAAGCTTTTGCAAAGCAAAGGAAACAGTCAACAAAACCAAAAGACAACCGACCTAATGGGAGAAGATATTTGCAAATGATATATCAGAGAAAGGGCTAGTATCCAAAATCTAGAAAGAACTTCTTAAAGTCAACACCAATGTACAAATAATCCAATCAAGAAATGGGCAAAAGATATGAACAAACATTTTTCCAAAGAAGACATCTAAATGGCCAACAGACACATGAAAACGTGCTCAACATCGCTTGGCATCAGGGAAATCCAAATCAAAACCTCAATGAGATGTCACCTCACACCAGTCAGAATGGGTAAAATTAACAAGTCAGGAAACGAGAGAAGTTGGAGGGGATTTGGAGAAAGGGGAACCCTCCTACACTGTTGGTGGGAATGCAAGCTGGTGTAGCTACTCTGGAAAACAGTATGGAGGTTCCTCAAAAAGTTGAAAATAGAGCTACTGTATGATCCAGCAATTGCACTACTGGGTATTTACCCCAAAGATACAAAAGTAGGGATCCGAAGGGGTACGTGCACCCCAATGTTTATAGCAGCAATGTCCACAATAGCCAAACTGTGGAAAGAGCCAAGATGTCCATCGACAGACGAATGGATAAAGAAGAGGTGGTATATATATACAATGGAATATTATGCAGCCATCAAAAGGAATGAGATCTTGTCATTTGCAACGACGTGGATGGAACTGGAGGGTATTATGTTGAGCAAAATAAGTCAAAGAGAGAAAGACATGTATCATATGATCTCACTGATATGAGGAATTCTTAATCACAGGAAACAAACTGAGCGTTGCTGGAGTGGGGGGTGGGGTGGGAGGGATGGGCTGACTGGGTGATAGACACTGGGGAGGGTATGTGCTCTGGTAAGCGCTGTGAATTGTGCAAGACTGTTGAATCTCAGATCTGTACCTCTGAAACAAATAATGCAATATATGTTAAGAAAAAAAAAAAGAAGAAGAAGAAGAAGAAGGTAGCGGGAGGGGAAGAATGAATGGGGGGAAATCAGAGGGATAGACGAACCATGAGAGACGATGGACTCTGAAAAACAAACTGAGGTTTCCAGAGGGGAGGGGAGTGGGAGGATGGGTTAGCGTGGACCCATCCTCGCTGGTTATTGAGGAGGGCACATTCTGCATGGAGCACTGGGTGTTATGCACAAACAATGAATCATGGAACACTACATCTAAAACTAATGATGCAATGTTTAGGGATAGTATAAGAATAAAAAAAAATTAAAAAATATTGTATGCTACCTAGCACATAGTCCTAGGGAATACTGCCTTCACTGTTATACATTGTTTTCTCTTGTTCTTGAATTTCATATAATTAGAATCAGTATACATTTTTTGTGTGTGTCTGGCTTTTTAATGTCTGAGAGTTTCATCATGTTACTTTATCAATATTCCACGTTTTATTGCGGAGGAGCATTTATTTGTATGAAGGTACTACTGTTTGTCCATTCTTCTGTAGATGGGTGTTTGGAACTTTGAATCAAGCTGAAGGGAATATTTTTTAATATTCTTTGTGGGCACTCTTTTCTCTTGAGTATATGCTAGGAGTGGGATTCCCAGGTCATAGAATAGGTATATATTTAAGCTTAGGAGATAGCATCAAACAATTTTCTACAATGGTTGAGCCATCCAACTGTGGGTCTATTTGTATTTCCAATATCCCCCAGAAAATCTCATTTCCTGTGCATAGCTCATTTTCTCAGTTGAGAAAACCAAAATATTTCATAATTAAGTATCAGTAGTGATAAACTAGTTTTCCCCTTTAGATCCCTGTTTTTCTGCTTCATGTGATAAGATTAGAGCCAGTGAAAGGGAACCTAAAATTTGGATTGTTCAAATGAATGTTAGTTCCAAACAAAGGAAACTTAAATGCTTTCAATAGAACTCCTGCATTGGTAAAGCTCTGGAAGTATGGTTAATGAACATGAGTCAGTAAAATTTCAGTCTAGCACAGTATTGTATTCTCATGCCTAAGCATGAGCTTCTCTCTGTCTCTTTGTTATTTTTATATCTCAACAAATATAGGTTTGTCTCTCTTTAAATTTTGAGAATGATAATCATATATGCAGAAAATAATGCCTTCAAATATTAATTTACATTAATTCTTCTTATTTAATGATGTATTATTTTTTGTTTCTTTGTTTTATTGTTGTTGTTTGCTACACAATAAAGCAAAATTTCTCCAGAGCTAAACAGGCATGGTCAAACAGTATTCCCTGTAAAACTAATATTGTGATTCCAGCAAGAAAAGTCATCTTATAATTTTTATTTCAGACATTTTTTTTAAGATTTTATTTATTTATTTGACAGAGAGAGACACAGAGAGAGAGGGAACACCAGCAGGGGGAGTGGGAGAGGGAGAAGCAGGCCACCCGCAGAGCAGGGAGCCCGATGTGGGACTTGATCCCAGGACCCTGGGATCATGACCTGAGCTGAAGGCAGTTGCTTAACCAACTGAGCCACCCAGGCGCCCTATTTCAGACATTTTATGGGTGGAAACCCACTACCTTTTTTTTTTTCCATTGACAAAAAATACCCACAGACGGTTACAAACTTAAACTATGTATTTAAACCTCAAAATACGTATTTAAACATGTAAAATTTGTGTCTAACCCCTCAGGTGATTTGTTCTTTAGTCCTTCTCATGCCTTCCTCCAACTCCACAGATCCCAGGAATTCAGGAGAAAAGATCATATTGCAGTGGTATCATCTGCCTGGGAGAGTTTGCTGCCCAGCATCACAGCTTCCACATTGCATTCCCACGCGATATGGTTGTCAGGGACAAAATTCTCCATGCCAGTTCACTTTCCCAGATATCATTTCCTTTAAAGACCTGCCTATTTCTCAAATCACTGATATTTCTAACATGGAGGCCAGCATCCTTTCCTCTTAGTATCTCTCATGAACACTGTGTATCCTCAGCACCCAAATTTGGGTGATATTCTCAAGAATACATGCATCTGGCTCCATTTCCTAGAAACTTGGGAAACTCCTGGTATTGAATTTAGGGAAAAATCAACTATTCTAAACTACAGAGAAACAATTCATGTGCATACTCCCCCTGTTATACTAAACATGGTCCTTAGAGTCAAAAACAGTTAATTCACCAATTAAGTACTTGCTGCTCAAAAGTGACTGAAACAGTGGAGAGCATCTGAGTCTATAGTACATAAAAGTCACAGCTTACAAAGCAAAGAATTCAATAGAAGGAAATGAAATCTGCAATAGCACTAGGAAATTAAGGGGACTATTTTATATTTAATAAAACCAGAAAACTTGCTGGAGGAAAAATAGAAATTACTTTGGCTCTTTCGGCAGGATATCAGAGATACTTTCTTGGGAGTCATACACATTGAGAAAACTGATGGCTACAGGGGATACATTAATTGAAGACTTTTGGACCACCTCAAGAAAATTCTGACCAGATTCCTTGAACCAAATTTAGAATGCAGTTCTTCTGACATATCCACATAAAAATCTAATGGAGGTTGAGGGCATGGATACTCTGCTATTTATTTTTTTTCATGATCTTTGCATTGTCTGGCTAACATGTAAATTTCTGGAGGAAAAAGAATGTATTCCATTTTTAGTACCAGGCATGTGGCAAGTGTTCATGTAAAATGTGAATTATATTGTCATTTTGGAAGACCAGTGTCCAAAAATAAAAATATATGGATGGAGATATATGAACTACACATACAGTTTTACATACTTTCTCTATGTTCATATGTCATTCAAATTGGAGATATTATTCAACATTTCTTTGATAAATACTATCACTAAGATAACTCTTTAATGCACTTCCTCTAGAATGCTCATTAAATGTATGAAATAACATGGGAATAAATTAAATTAGGGTATTTTTTTCATTCAAAATAAAAAATAGTTTTAATTTTGAGCCTCCTGAACCCCCACTTCTGCAGGAGGCTGCAGGCAGATCCACGCCAGAACCATGTTTTGCAACCAGTATGACAATGATGTCATTGTTTGGAGCCCTCAGGGCAGGATTCATCAAATTGAGTACGCAATGGAAGCTGTCAAGCAAGGTTCAGCCACAGCTGGTCTGAAATCAGAAACCCATGCAGTGTTGGTTGCATTGAAGAGAGCACACTCAGAGCTTGCAGCTCATCAGAAAAAAATTATCCATGTTGACAACCATATTGGTATCTCAATTGCGGGACTTACTGCTGATGTTAGACTGTTATGTAATTTTATGCACCAAGAGTGTTTGAATTCCAGATTTGTATTTGACAGACCTATTCCTGTGTCTCATCTTGTATCTCTAATTGGAAGCAAGATCCAGATACCAACACAACGATATGGCCGGAGACCATATGGTGTTGGGCTGCTTATTGCTAGTTATGATGATATCGGCCCTCACATTTTCAAAACCTGTCCATCTGCCAACTATTTTGACTGTAGAGCCATGTCCATTGGAGCCTGTTCTCAATCAGCTCGTACTTACTTGGAGAGACATATGTCTGGGTTTATGGAGTGCAGTTTGAATGAACTGGTTAAACATGGTCTGCGTGCCTTACCAGAGATACTTCCTGCAGAACAGGACCTAACTACACAGAATGTTTCCATTGGAATTGTTGGTAAAGACTTGGAGTTTACGATTTATGATGATGATGATGTATCTCCATTCCTGGAAGGTCTTGAAGAAAGACTGCAGAGAAAGGCACAGCCTGCTCAACCTGCTGATGAACCTGCAGAAAAGGCTGATGAACCGATGGAACATTAAGTTACAAGCCAGTCTGTATGTTTATTATCAAACCTGTAAGAATGCAGAAACATGTACTGATGATAATAATCTATACGTAGGAATCAGTCCAGATGTGTTTTTCCCTAGCAACTTGTTTGAAACCATATAATGGTGTGCATTTTTCTTTGAGAGCATCTATATAATCATTTTCTAGAAAGTATAGGTATCTGTACTGATGTTTTTATATGATGAACATAGTGTCTTTGTGGTTTTAAAGACAACTGTGAAATAAAATTGTTTCACCTGAAAAAAAATAGTTTTAATTTTGAATGTAAAGGACAAGCACACATAACTCCCAGTACATTAAAAAAAAATAGTTTGATCACCATCATTTTGTTGTTGGTGGTTTGTTTTGAGTTATTACCTCCACTAACATTGGGAGCAGAGGCAGAGGAATAACATTCACCATCCTTTCATTTTATTTGCAGTTCTTGATTTCCTGGCTTTTTCTCTCTTTCTATTTTAGCATATACCTCTCTAAATAAAAATATGAGACTTTACACAGGGTTTCTATGCTCCATTGACTGAATATATTCTACTAAGTACATTGAAAAAAAGTAAACATTCTATTTCCCTTAGAAAATGTTTCACATATCTAAAATAACCATAGAAGCTTCCAAGAAAAACTGCCAAGTTCCAGAGAAAATTTTGGAGGAAAACATTGACATTATTTAATATGATATTCACATAGTTATCTTTCTCTGAGTAAATAAAACTTCTTTCTCAAGCTTTTCTTTAGTTTGCATGTGAAAGACATCACCAGATCAATGACAAAAGGCCAAGTGAGCAGGTAAATGTTTGGTTGCTCCAAATTGTCCATGTTCATAATTGATATACGTTGCAAGAAGCCACAGTGTTTCTTTCTTAAGAATCTTCCTTATCTAACAGATTTGTGGCTCTCATCCATGATGTTGGTTTTTAATAAAAATAAAGCCAAGAAATCAAAACCAAGTAAAGCATTTCCCAAATTTACTGAACATGAAGCTCAAATAACAACTTGAAGTTTGGAGTAATCTTTCATCCGTTGGTGCAGGGATTGCTGGCCATTCCTGGCAATGATGCATGTCACAGTGTATGTACTGGAATTGTGAATTAGCTCCTTAAACCAGATTTCAGCAAGTTATTTTCATCTAACCTTATGTGGTTATGTGGAGCAAAAACCTGGACAATGTCTTGCCCTTTGCTTTTTCCTTCCCTGGATTCATTCTGGTCTAGTTACATGGTTAATGAATAACATTGCCAAATATGGACTGAGATTGTGTCAGCATGTTTTAAACAAGATTTTAAAACAATTCCTGTGGGCATGAAAACAGGGGCTATTTTTTTTTCTTTACAAGGTCTTCTGGGAAGTTATGTGAATATTTGGTTCCCGGCCTGCATTAGGTGCTGTTTTCTACCTGAGGGATGTCTAATTGCATCCTTTGATCAGAATGCCATAGACTTTCCAGAACTGGTGAGAAAATCTCCAGACAGACCATAAAGACCTAACAAAGGATTTCATTAGCCTTCCTTCTTGGTTTAGCTAGATGACAAAAGATGGAATGGATCTCTAGTTCTTATCTGACTCATTGTGGGACACCCATAGAAATGAGCAGGGACATAAGTGCAGACAACATACCATGTTCCCCAGGGTCACTAGGATGAGGTGACAGAATGGGGGCCATGAGGAGGGATGAATGGATGAATGAATCCACTTCAGTCCGTGAACTATATTTGTATTTTGGGTGCTTGGGCTTACTGACACTCTGGGGTGTACCATGCTGCTAAATACTAATCTAATAGGTTCATGGTTATCACAGTAAAACAAATAAAATCATGTCAACAGTTAACAGTTTGAAGTCCAGTGCTTCAAAGGAGAACAACTATCAGTATGAATTTTTTTTTTATTCTTATGTTAATCCCCATACATTACATCATTAGTTTTAGATGAAGTGTTCCATGATTCATTGTTTGTGCATAACACCCAGTGCTCCATGCAGAACGTGCCCTCCTCAATACCCACCACCAGGCTAACCCATCCTCCCACCCCCCTCCCCTCTAGAACCCTGTTTGTTTTTCAGAGTCCATCGTCTCTCATGGTTCGTCTACCCCTATGATTTCCCCCGCTTCATTCTTCCCCTCCTTCTACCTTCTTCTTCTTCTTCTTTTTTTTTTTCTTAACATATATTGCATTATTTGTTTCAGAGGTACAGATCTGAGATTCAACAGTCTTGCACAATTCACAGCGCTTACCAGAGCACATACCCTCCCCAATGTCTATCACCCAGTCACCCCATCCCTCCCACCCCACCCCCCACTCCAACAACACTTAGTTTGTTTCCTGCGATTAAGAATTCCTCATATCAGTGAGATCATATGATACATGTCTTTCTCTCTTTGACTTATTTCACTCAACATAATACCCTCCAGTTCCATCCACGTCGTTGCAAATGGCAAGATCTCATTCCTTTTGATGGCTGCATAATATTCCATTGTATGTATATACCACATCTTCTTTATCCAGTCATCTGTCGATGGACATCTTGGCTCTTTCCACAGTTTGGCTATTGTGGACATTGCTGCTATAAACATCGGGGTGCACGTACCCCTTCGGATCCCTACTTTTGTATCAAAGGAGAATAACTATCAAACTTTATTTTTGGTTTGTCCATTTTTTTAAAATTTTATTTATTTATTTGAAAGAGATAAAGAGAGAGAAAGGGAGGGAGGGAGCAGGGAGCCAGATGTGGGGCTCAATCCCAGGACCCTGAGATCATGACCTGAGCCAAAGGCGGATGCTTAACCAACTGAGCCACCCAGGCACTCCTGGTTTGTCCATTCTTAACTTGTATTTTAGAAATTACAAGCTGTTCACAGTTTATAATCTATTCCTAGTGAAGTCAAATATAATTTCTACAGAGCAACTAATGTTAACAATAAACAACAGTGGTTTGTTTTCCAATTTTCTAATGAGGTCACATATCAAAGGAGCAAAATTGACTTGAGGTACTATTATTTATGAAGCATTACTCATTAAAGTATTTATTGCTCAATATTTCTCCTGTATGAGGGGTGCCTGGGTGGCTCAGTCAGTTAAGTGACTGCCTTCAACTCAGGTCATGATCCCGGGGTCCTGGGATAGAGCCCAGCATCGGGCTCCCTGCTCAGCAAGGAGCCTGCTTCTCTCTCTCTCTCCCTCTGCCTACCTCTCTGCCTACTTATGCTATCAAATAAAATAAATAAAATCTTAAAAAAATATTTCTCCTATATGATTTTACCACTATGAGTATTTGATTTTTAAAAAGCTAAAGCAATAAAAATAGCAAACACCTCACTAGGAGCATCATGAAAAATTTATACTTTTAACATTGACATTTATATTTTTATACATTCTTTAATAGATTCCTAGCACACAAAAAGTTAGCATAAGAGGTGAGATAGATTACATTCTTTGTTCTTGAATAATATTTGCATATTTCCTTGGCTTCATGACATTTTTTATACCCTGGAGGCAGTTTTATGCCTGCATATTTTGTACTGCTTTTAAATTTAACCATAAAGGAGGATAAACCACAACATGCTTTTTAAAATTGTTTTATTTTTTCTATATTTGTTAAAGGAAAAATGGAAACCAAATATTTAACTAAATATTTAACTAAACTTAAGCATTTTACCAAATTAATTTTTTTAGCACAGACCATTTAAATAGCTTACTCTGAGTAGGTGTGACAATTGGGTGCTGTCATATGTATATATTTTATCAATCAGAATTAAATTGTGGGATGGACTAAAAGCAAGAAGACATCACTTTAAAAGTTCAAGAATATATGCTGAGTAATAAAATGTAGTCAATGGCCAGCATTTTTCTGAGGGTACACACATACAAATATTACACATTATTTATCAAAATAATCCATGTATCTTGAATCCATTTGACCTCAGATAACACTGGTTGCATTGGCACAAAATTTGGCCGGATAAGCCTTTAACTTATATAGGCATCTGATCAGTTCTCTGTGGTACAGGAAATATTTTCCCACTTGGAAGAAAGACTGAAGGTTTAAATAAAACTTGCATTGAATACCAAGATACTTTCAAGGTGATATATTGATTTATGTTATTTTAAAACTCTCTCATTCCACTCATACTCACCATTGGGCCCTTTCAAACAGTTTAATTGTTGCTACTTTCATAGTTTAAAATGACAACTCACTGTAATTTTTATTTATATTTTGTATTTTATTGATATGCAACTAATTTTTTGTTAAATTACCATTTGTGTTTCTTTTTCTGTGTGAATTTCCTGTTTGTATTATATGCACACCTTCCTATTGCATTGTGGACTTTATTTATTTAGGTTTTTGGTATTGATTTATAGGACTGCAGTTTAAGAGAGATATTATATAAGTCACGGTTCTTTCAGTTGCAAGTCATAACTCTCCTTCCTTCCTTCTCCTTCCTACCTTCCTGTCTCTTTGTCTTTCTTTTAAGGATCTTGGGAGCGCATAATTGGATGAATCATTATCTTTGTTTCATGATATACACTGGTCATTTGTCCATTCAAAGTCTCCTTTTATCAATTTATTCAGCTAGATATTTTTAATGGTATTATAAGCTCCTACAAACTACCACCTGAAGTAAAAATTAGGACTTCAATAACACCTGCATCTAACTTGGCAGTCTCCCTCAAACCCACCCACTTGCATACCCACAGTGGAATAATTATCTTAGTGTTTATTATTCCCCAGATTTCCTTTTATATAGTTGTAGTGCCTCTGTGTGTGTGTGTGTATGCACACACATACATATATACACATATGTTGTTTTTTTACTTTCTATAAAGGTCACCATTAAGTAAACAATCTATGATGTAAATAATCTGAGAATTTTTCCATTAAATATAATATTGCTCTATAGTTATCCTTATTGGATGTCATCATAGTTTATTTATCTTTATTATTGTATAATACTCCATTGACTTTTATTTTTCATATGTTCTT